TCAAGTAACTTCCATATATATGTATGGAATATATATATGTATGTATGTAGTTGTTATTGTTAGGTGCTGTGGAGTCATTTTCAACACATAGCGACCCCATGTAACAGAGTAGGGTTTTCTAGTCTGTAATTCTTTACAGAAGGTGTTCTGCTGGCTCAGTGGTTAAGAGCTCAGCTGCTGACTTAAAGGCTGGCAGTTCAAACCTACCAGCCGCTCCAGAGAAAGCTATGGCAGTATGCTTCTGTAAAGATTTACATCCTTGAAAACCCTTTGGGGCAGTTCTACTCTGTAATACTGGGGTCACTATGAGTCAGAATTGACTCAATGGCAGTGGGTTTGGGGTGAGTATGAGTTGGAATCCACTCCATGACAACAGGTTTGGGGTTTTTTGTTTTGTTTTTCAATCTTTATAGGAGCAGACTGCAAGGATCATTCCCCTGTGGAGCCACTGGGTGGGTTCAAACCACCAGCCTTTCAGTTAGCAGCCAAGTACCAGAGCACTTAGGTAGATAGAGATATAAAGATATACATACAGTTGGTCCTCCATATCTGCAGGTACAGCCAACCGTGAATCAAAAATATTTTGGGGAAGTAAATGGCTCCTAAAAAGCAATGAAGTAGTCAAAGCAATCCCTCAAAGGCTAAGAAACCAAACTAAATCCACTGCCATCAAGTCAATTCTGACTCATTGCAACCATTGGATTTCCAAGGCTGTAAATCTTTACTGAAGTAGATTACCTCTTCTTCCTCCTGCAAAGCAGATAGTGGGTTTGAACAGCTGACCTTCTGGTTAGCAGCCAAGTACAAAAGCTAAGGGGTAGTGTAAAGTGTTATTTACTTAGCATTTATTATATTAAGTATTATAAGTAATCTAGAGATGATTTAAAGTATAAGGGAGGGTGTATGTATGGTATATACAAATAAACAATTTTATACAAGGGACTTGAGCATCTGCAGATTTGGTTATTGTGGGGGGTGTCCTGGAACCAATCCTCTATGGATACTGAGGGACAACTGTATACAAACATATCTATATATTCATATCCACACTGGAAAAGAAAAAGGAGAACTCTCAGTGGACCAGAGAAATTCTTTAAGGAATGAAAGCAGATGGGTTGAACCTATAGCCCAGGAAACAGCAGGTGAGTGGCACTAAGGATGCTTCATGCCTACAAGGAGGGGAGGGGCAAATAACCAGGCAAGGGCAAATAAGTCTTGGGATGATTTGCTAAGGGGACCTTAAGGGGAGCAGCCAGGCCATGGACCCTCACTCACCATCATCAGCCAGACAACAGGAATGGGTGTTGGCCTCCAAGGGAAGAAGCCAGTGTAGGATCTTGGGAGGAGTGTCTGTCAATGCCTCAGAGCCCCAGACCTAGAAGCCAGCCCTTTCTCAAGTAGGAACAGTGGGCTCAGCCAACAGGCTTCTAACAGGGAATTTCACCCACAGAGATGAGCACACACTCAAAATTCACCAAACACTTAAAGAAAGCCAACCCCATAGAAGGAGACTATTTGTATTAGTTGAAATATGCAGAGTTAGAAAGTGTAAGTTCCTCACTGTGAATGAAGTACCTGGAACTAAAGAGAAGGAAGAGTTTTACTTGGGAAGCATAACTTGAAGACCGCAAGACAGCTCAGAGAAGGTATTCTCTATAAATCTAAGTAAAACCATCCGTTGAGGCAAGGGCCCTGCAGAAGAGAGCTTTTGGTGAAGAGACCCACAGATGGATAGAGGAAATTCAGCTGCCAGCCTCAATGGAGATCCAAACTCCTGACCATCACTGAGCGCACCAGACTGTGCCTGACTGGTGGGCCACCACAAAATGGAGCCATGGAATACCTCTCCTCTGCTTAGATGTCAGTAAGGTTGTTGGGCATGGCATGTCATTTAAATTTATATAGTACCTCTTTATCTTCCTTTTACTGTCTTTTTTTGGGAGGAGGCTTTTACACCATCTTCCTTGCCTACTTTCACAGACCCTTGCCCACTTTCATAGACCCTAAGAGGAGCTTTGGTAGTAGCAGTGGTAAAGTGCTCAGTTGCTAACCAAAAGGTTGGTGGTTCAAACCCACCAGCCACTCTGTGGGAGAAAGAAAGACATGGCAGACTGTTTCTGTAAAGATTACAACCTTAGAAACCCTATAGGGCAGTTCTCCTCTGTCACTATGACTTGGAATCACTCAACAGCGATGGGTTTGGTATTTTTGGTTAAGTAGCAAAACTGTTCAAAGGTAGTGATCAAGAAGCCTAATTAAAAAAAAAAAAAACTACCGTGGAGTTGAATCCAACTCAGAGTGACTCCTCCTTGGGTTTCCAAGGTGGTATCAGTATGGAAATAGATTGCCCAAACTTCCTTCCAAGGAATGGCTGCTGAGTTTGAACCACCACCCTTCTGGTTAGCAGTCAAGTGCCTTAGGCACTACGCCACTTTGAAATTCAACTCTATGCAAAGTCACCTTAAAACTTAAGAGGTAGTAGGAATATAACAGCCCCTAACTCTTCCAGTTCAAGGGAATCTCCCTTCTTTATTGCCCTTCAACCTGGGAAGGTGGTGACACCTGAGTTTATTCAAGCTTAGGAAGGTTTAGGGGGACCACAGTCCTTTTATGCAGCTTTTTTCCCAGACTCTCCCAGGTCCAGGACAGCTGAGGAGAGGCCAGGAATGTTAACTACAGCTCAGATGGCAGGAAATATCCTCAGAAAGCTGTGTCCTCAGCTTGAGCCTGGGGGCCAAAAAGGTGCTCAGCAGTGACCTTGCCATCATACTTGGGCAGTGAGCCCCCAAAGTCAGCAGGCAGGATGTCCTCATCAATCTCCCGGAAGAAGTCAGTGAGGTCATCTCCGTGGACAAAGACCTGTGGGGAAGCAGGGGAGACAGAGCTGAGGAGGAAATGCCTAAGGATGAGGGATGAGGGGAAGAAAGGGTCTGGTGCACAGAGCCACAGTGCACCATTGCTGCCTGGTGATGTCCTTCTCCACAGTGCTCCCATGTTGTGCTTTCAGAGCAGTCAGCTCTGTCCAGAAACATGGTACAGAGCCTGAGGGGACCCCAAAGGTGCTCCCTCCTCATATTCACTCAGTGACTGCACAGATGCTCACTGAATAGTGGGCAGGCCTTACACTCACCCTCTGGAGCAGCTTGCTCTTCAAGAAGGGCTTGACTACATTATACGTTGTGGTGAAGTACCATGGCTGGTGGATGAAGTGGATGGCTTTGAACCGGGCTGGGAATGAGTCCTGCAGTGACAGAGAGACTCCTGGTGGCCTCAGAAGCTCCCACATGCTCTCCCTCTCCCTCACCCCATAACACAGAGAGACTTGCCCAGCCTCCCACCATTGCCACAGAGGAGATTTCACTGAAGGTGACATCCCAGGGCCAGCCAACATGGGGCTCTGGCTTCACTGAGAGTCCAACTACTGTAAGGAAGTCCTTGAAGTCATGGAGCCCAACTTTCTCCCTGCTGACATATGAGTCCTTGGAATTAGGGTGAGTAGAGAAATAAAATGGAAGCCTTGTTTGGTTTTTAGATGATTGAGCTTTTTTCAAACCCACTTGCCTGCTGAGTAGATTGCAAGTTATCATAAACCACAGGGACACTCTTACCATGCCTCACCATCCTTCAGCCTCTCACATGGCCCCCACTGCTCCTTTCTCAGATACACAAAGAGCAGGTTTAAGGGTAGTTCTAGGAAAGGGCTTCTGACACATCAGTATATATAGGAGTGAGTTTTAAGGGAGTTGGTGATATCCCTTTCTCTCGATAAATTCACATTCAAAGAGAGGCAGCCTGACACAGAGCATGGGATTACAGGTTAGAAAATGTGGGTTCAAGTCCACCTCTGCCACTTTATAGCTGTCTGACCTTGAACAGTCACTTAAATGTCTGAGCCTCTGTTTCTATAAGTTTTTAAAATGAAGCAGGGAAGCAGAGAGGGATAACTTGCAAGGAGTAAATGAAATAATGAATGCATATACTTGGCAAACTCTCAATAACCATCTAAGTGTCTGGAGTTGGGATTGTGGTTGTAATTGCTCTTTAATGACACCAGGTGGCTATCTTCTCAGGTCCCTTCTAACATCATAAAACCAGGAAACCAAGTCCAGCCTCCCAGCATCGCCACCTGTGAGAGGCTCCTGCAGGACTGGGATCTCAGGTCTCACCTGGAGCATGTCCACCATCTTCCTGAGATCCGAAGGCCGGAGCCCAGCCGCCTGCTGCATGGTAAAGCCCTTGAAATTCTCAATGATGCAGAAGCCATTAATTTGGGTTTCCTCATTCTCCAATAGTTTCTCCAGGATGAAGCAATATGCCTGCAAGATCTTGATCAGAGTAAACAGGCTTTAAGAGCCAGTCCACAAAGATAATGAAAGCTCAAGGTCCTGAAAAGAGAGCTAACAAGTACAACCTTTATCAGAGCAATTTGCTATAAGCTTTGAGTTGGACATTCAGCCTCTGTGAATATATCCCAAGAAAATAACCTTGAAAGTTATATCCACAGTTAGATGCCAGGGTGCTTATCTCAGCACTCTTATAACACTGGGAATAACCTAACTGTTCAGCAAAAAGGGATGGGTTAAATTAAGATGTTTCATTTGCTCCATTGCGAACCAAAAGTTTAGAAGTTCAAGTCCACCCAGAGGTGCTTTGGAAGAAAGGTCTGGTGATATACTGTTGTTGTTGCTGTTATGTGCCATCTAGTTGGTCCTGACTAATAGCGACCCCCTCCTTGGGTTTCAGAGGCGATATCACTATGAAAGTAGATTGCCCAACCTTACTTCCAAGGAGTGGCTGGTGGATTTGAACCGCCAGCCTTCTGGTTAGCAGTCAAGTGCCTTAGGCACTACACTATCAGAGCTCCTGGTGATGTACTAGGGAAAAAAAAAATTACTAAAAACCCTATGGAGGAGGAGCTCTGGTAAGATGGCAGAATAGGCAGAAAGACTCCTCAGACCCTCTTCAACAAAGAAAAGGGGAACCAATTAACACAGATACAAAAGATAATCCTGGATCCCTGAGCTTTGAAGGGAAGAATATAGAAGTGGACTAAATTCCAACTAGCAGAAGAATTTGCATGAAAACACCAAAAGAGGAGACATATGGAGCTGCAGTTTAGCAGCAATCCTGACAGCACAGACAGCTTGGATATTGCCGAGTGGTGTTAGGACCTAAGAATAAACCTAAAAATCATCCCCGCCAATGTACCAAATGTGTGTGACCAACATGGCAGCATTGAGGATGAGAAAGACATAGAGAGGTACATGGGAGGTACAGACAACAAATATTTTGCACATATAGTACTCTGTTGTCAATGAAGGCAAACATGGGTATATGGGCGGATAGATGGGTGGACAGGCTAAATAATTAGGTATGTCTATGAAATGGGGAGTGTATCCAAGAACATATATAGGGTTGGCAGACAATGGTCCTATAAGTTTATGTGAATGATCAGAATTCCTAAGTGTATAGTAGAGCTGACAAGGGGCAAGGCTGTGGTCACTGCATGGTCACAGCCAGCTACCCAGAGGAACCAAGTGGTTGAACCTGCGGGCTTAGGACCATAGTCTCAGGGGATATCAAGCTCAATTGGCATAACATACTATACAAAACAATGTTCCACCTCCTACCTTGGTGAGTAGAAACTGGGATCTTAAAAGCTAGCAAGCTGCCATCTAGATGCAACAATGGGTCTCTCCTCATCCAGAGCAAAGAAGAATGAAGAAAACCAAAATTCATGGAAACAGTTAGTCCTAGCGACTGTTACACCATCTGATCTGCAGCCTAGACAACTATGAGACCAGAAGAACTAGATGGTGCCTGGATACCCCTGTCATCCACTTGGAAGGGGATCTATGTAGGAGATCCTTGATAGAGAGAGAGAACAATGTGGAACAAAACTCAAAATCATTTGGAGGAAAAAAAGGGGTGGACCAGGTTTGCTGGTCCAATAGAGCCTTGTGGAACCACTGAGACTATGGCCCCTAGCTGCACTTCAGGTCTGGAATTGAACCCACACCTGTGGTTTCCAGCCAAACAAAAGACAGGCATATGAGTTGAACATTTACCTCAGGTAGATACACTCCTTGGAGAGAACAATCATGGGAGAAAGAAGGGCTGCTTATGCACAGGGAGACAGCTCAGGGAGCAGAAGTCCATGGAGGGATGGACACTGGGAAGGGGTAACTGTGGGGAGAAGGTGGGAGGGGAGCTGTTGCATTGTGGTAAACTGTGGTCAATGTCATGAGACAAAGTGTATGTGAACTGCTGTATGGAAAGTGAATTTGCTCTGTAAACTTTCACCCAAATCACAATAAAAATTAAAAAAAAAAAAAAAAAATCAGCCCTGCTAGCCAGGGACTGCACAGAAGACTGCTCTGGTGGCTGGGGAATAAAAGGGGAAGCAGCGAAGAGGAAGGCAGGCTGAGCTGTGGACTTTTGCCTGTCCAGAGGGTGCAGCCATTTTGAATGTTTACAAGTGGCTTGACCATTTTGGATATTTAAAGTGACAACATTCTCCCAGATTCCAGGGACTTAAGAACAGGCTCCACTTGCCAGGAACCCCAAGGACATTCCAGACTCCAATGACTGGAAGGGTGTGACATTCACCTTGTTACTCTTATCCAACACCCTCTTGCTGAGCGTAGGTGGGCCATCCCTCACTCCCACCCACCTTCTAGGCTGGCAGGAATTCCATCCCAGTCTGTATACTTGGTTAGACCCTGGGTGCCCTGCCCACCCAGCCCAGATTTTTTCTTTCTTTTATTTTGTTTGTTTTTGTCTGTTTTAAAACTACTACTATTATTATTACTTTTATCCTTATTATTTTTTTTAATTCTTCCCTTTCCAGGTTCTAGTTTTCAGTTTTTTTTTTCTTTTCCCTGTTCCTGGTTCCAATTTTTTTTTCTTTCTCATGGTTAACCCTGTTCCTTGATTTCTTTTTGTGTTTTTCCCATTTTTTCTTCATTATTATCCTTCTCTACCTTTTTTCTCTTATTGCCTGCTCCCCAGATACTGGGGTGTCTTTTTTGTTTTGTTTTTCCCTTTTTTCTTTTTTTGGTTACTGTTCCTGTGTGATTAGATGGTGTGTTTTTTGTCCATTTGCTTTTACTTTTTTTATGGTTATTAAATTGTTATTTTTGCCTAACTGAGTGGGAGACAGCTACAGTCCCCATACAACACAACTAACCCACACCTCCTGCATCTTCACTTACTGAGTGAGAGCTACCACTTACTTCTCCACCAACAGGCCAATGATAAACAACCACCAAGAAAAGCCTGACTCACTCTTACCTGCTCTTCACAAACAGTTAACAGATATCTAAATACAACAATGTCACAATATCTTGGGGACAACAGACCATCACAGCCCACACAAA